ACAGATAATTCACTTTTCTCAAAGGTAACAGCAATGTTTCTGTTTCATATTTTCCTCTTTTTTTCCCCCACAACAAAAAGAGGGAATCCCTAAGAGATGTTTTTTGTTACAAGCAGAGGTCAGAAATCTCACCAGAAACCATCACTGCTTTTAAAGAATCCAAAACTCAGCATGGAAATAACCAATTCTAATAAACCAATCTGCAATCTAATAAACAGAGCACTTTGTACTTTTGGTGGCATTTAAGCCACGAAGGCAGGAAAACAGAATGCTGTACCCAGGTACAATATTGCACTTTTCTCCTCCCTCAGTAAAACAGAGTTTCAGTTTTGTTATTTCTGGGAAAAAATCTCAGCCACCAGCGATGGGCACGGCCGTGGAGGGTCACTCATTTTCCCAGCACAATCCTGTGCTTCCTTTTCCTCTCTAGCTTTTATTAGGAATAAAAGAGGGGGGGAAAAAAAGAGTTCACAATGCACGGGGTGAGGACAAGCAGCACCGTGGGGACAGCGATGCCACAAACACCTGCACAAGGGGACCAGGGGGTGCCACCCCCTGCACATCCCCAATCCTCAATTCTGCACATCCCCAAATCCTCATTTCTGCCATCCCAAAATCCTCATTTCTGCACATGCCAAAATCCTCATTTCTGCCATCCCCAAATCCTCATTTCTGCCATCCCCAAATATCCTCATTTCTGCCATCCCCAAATATCCTCATTTCTGCCATCCCAAAATCCTCATTTCTGCCATCCCAAAATCCTCATTTCTGCACATCCCCAAATCCTGATTTAATTCCCGCACATCCCAAACTCCTGATTTCATTCCTGCACATCCCAAAGCCCTGATTCCATTGATTTCATTCCTGCACATCCCAAACTCACTCCTGCACATCCCAAAGCCCTGATTCCATTCCTGCACATCCCAAAGCCCCGATTTCCCAGCTGGGAGCCAGGGCCGGGCTCTGAGCCCTCGTGGGAGGGAAGCCCCGGCTCAGCTGAGGCTCTCAGGACTCTGAAAGCCAAAGAGCAGCAGCGGTTCCTGGAAACGCCTCGGCACGGGGAGGTGAGAAACCTTCCCACCCGCTGGCTACGTGACAGGGGACAGCCACAGCCCGGGGACAGCCACAGCCCGGGGACAGCCAAGGAGCCTTTTTGGGGAGGGAAAAACAACCCCCGAGGGAACCTGGGGCTGTGCAGGATGGGCTCAGCCAGAAAAAAAAACCCGCAGGGACAAGGTGGGAGAGGGGATGTGAAATGCTCTGGGCACAAACCCCCTCCTCCCGGTCCCAGCCACGCTGGGGACGCGTTTTTGTCACTCGCTGTGGTCACACCAAAGCAGCAAATCTGTGATGCACACCCCAAAAAATGGACAGGGCAGGAGGCACCACCAGGGATCCCATGGGGACAAATCCTTTCACCCTTTCCTCCTCAACAAGGACAGCAGCAATGGGGTGGGAGGCAGGAGGAAAGGATTAAATCCAAAAGGGATTTAGGAAGTGGGGAGAAAGGTTAAAGACTGAATGGCAGCCAAAAAAAAAAAAAAAAAAAAGTCCAAGAGGGGAGAAAAGGAATTTGAAAGGGGGAAAAAGACTTTGCACAAGAGTTCTGGGCAGAAAGGAGCTGGAGCTGCGAGAGGGAGAAAGGAAAATTGAGAGCAGAGAAGGAGAAAAAGAAGGAAAAGGAAAAAAGGGAAGGGAAGGGAAGGGAAGGGAAGGGAAGGGAAGGGAAGGG